CAGAATTTGATTTCCTTGTGTTTATGTCATTTGCATAGTCACTATCGACATAACACTTTAATTTCAATTCCTCAGTAATCTGTATTTGAAGACCCAAATTTATGGTTCCCTTTAAATATCTGAGAACCCTTTTTACACCCATCCAATGTAACTTTGTAGGTGCAGCAGTAAAACGACTCAAAATGCTTACTGCGCAAGCTATGTCTGGTCTGGACCACTGTGATAGATATAACAAACTCCCTATTGCTGAGTGATATATCTCTTGATCACAGGTTTCACCTTTGTCCGCACTTAAACTATTATAAAAATCCGCACTCATGGGTGTGGGAGCAGTATTGCTATCTTTCATTTTATATTTTTCCAATAACTGCTCAATTTTTCTCCTTTGACTGAGAATATAACCACCTTTTTCATTTTTCTGTATCTCTACACCGAGATAATTTTTTATTTCTCCCAAAGTCTTTAATTCGAATTTCTTTAATTCGAATATTCCAACTTGTAACTCCCAGTACGCCTCCATCAGTGTCCCCATTTTTCATGAGCTGCGGGTTCCACTCACGACTCTTCCCGTTGGCTCTGTTGGATTTCCCAGTACTTGCTGACTGTAGATACTGTCCTCCAAGAGCTCCAAGCCGTGCACCAAGTGGTAAGAAGCCAACTAAAGACAGCCAAGGTGGACTATGAAAGATTCACAGATCGGCATCATAGAGATATTCCCAGACTAGCTGTGGGTGACAGTATTTGATTCTCCATGCAATACACCTGCTTACATCTCAGCCATCCAAAAAGCTTGATGACTGCTATTTGGGCCTGTTGGCGAAGCAGTGATCAATCTGATTGCTGATTCTGCCATGTACCATGAGAATCCACCCTATGTTCCATCAGTCGTTGCTAGTACCGGTACCACCAAGATCAGTAACCCCTCAAAAAGCAGAGGAGTATGAGTTGGAGCTTTGCCTTGCTCTAAAGACTGCCCTTGCCTTATACCTGGACTTCTGCCTTGCGGGCTTACTGGGTAATCTATGGGCTGTTGTTCGGGAGACTGAAGGTAGGGCCTGACTAGTCGGTGGAGGGCCATTTGTTTAATCTTCCCAAGACAAACAACTCTCTGGAGGCCTGCCTAGTCTTTCTCTCCTGGGTCATAACATCCACCTTGTTTGGGCAATGTGACCTGACCAAAAGGGAGGAAGAATTCTATGCTTTTACTATAGGGGTTTGGGTGGGTCGGGCCAGAGCTGGTTTTGCTTTCATTTGTGACAAAGTGACATACTTAATATTTACATTAAGAGATCAGAATGTCTCGAAGGTGTTTGCTTGGTTTCATCATTCGGAACCCTGACAAAAACTTTCCACTTAAAAATACTTTGTTTCTATTGCCTATCTCTTATCCCTATTTTACACAGTAGAAACAAGTCTTGAGTTCAATTATTTTAATGTCCAAGAAGCAGTAACTATTTTATGATTGGCAGCATAATGAGATATAGCAGGCGTTCTCGCACACATAGCAGGAGTACTTATCCCAACTGTATTTCTGGGCCGTTTCTGAAAGTACCTTCCCTTTGCTAATACTTCAGTTTGTCTTACAGCAACACACTTTAGTTCTCTTTAATATTATTTTGGAGCCAACATGAGAGGTGAGGAAAGATCACTACACAGTTAGGACACAGAGCCTACGAGTTGCATCTTCTAATTCAGCATCACTATAACCCCATTCTCCTTCAGGTTTTCTCTCTCAGCTATTACTTGCATTACATAATGTGACACAGGGTGGAAAGGCGGATTGTGACAAAATTAAGTAAAGGAAAGTTCAAACTATAATAAGGGATTCAGGACCAATTGCATTTTTACATGCAACTTTGCTCTTGTGGATATATTCATTACTTTCTTGCATCACTTCATTATTTCCTGCATCACTTAAATACTGACATCTATATATCACTTTCAGGCGTATTAATGTTCTTAATCTCCACTGGTTCTCATTTTTGACTTAGATGCCTAGTTAAAAGCATAAGAAAGGGTTGAGCCTTCACCTTGTCTTATTTGGATCATATCAAAGTAGACCTAGTATTTAATTATTATCCAAGTAGACCTTTGTATTAGATTTTAGATTACTATTCCTGTTGAGGCTCCTCCCACACTGAATTGATAAGGCTATTCTTGTGTGGTTCCATTGATGGGACTCCAGGCATTGACATCATTTTTTCCAAGTGTATCTTGTTATGGTAAGTAGAAGAAACACTGTCACTGAAGCTCTTTTTCTATTCCATGCAGTTGTAAGATTTGTCCCAAGGATGGAAACTTTTATGGGAAGTAAGGGAAACATCGAAATACTTTCCACACTCCATGCATTTGTGTTTTATTCCCTGTGTGGAGCATCTAATGGGAAGTAAGTTGACCTCTTAGACAAAAGGTCATTCTACACTCCATGTGAGGATTTCACTATGGGAACAAAGGTGAACGCTTCGAGTAGAACACTTTCCACACTCTATTAATTTAAATGACTTCTCCCGTGTGTATCCTTTTATGAGAAGTAAGACTGTTGCTTTGAGCAAAGCTCTTTCAACACTACATTCACTTAAATTGCTTCTCCACTATGTGGATTTTTTTATGGGAAGACCACTGGCCTGAGAAAAGTCTTTCCACACTCCATGCATTTAAATGGATTCTCTGTGTGGATCCTTTTATGGCAAATAAGATCACTGGCCTGAGCAAAGGTCTTTCCACACTCCATGCATTTAAATGGCTTCTCCCCTGTGTGGATCTTTTTATGTGAATAAAGATGAGAGCTTTGTGCAAATGTCTTCCCACACTCCATGCACCTATATGATTTCTCCCGTGTGGATCCTTTTGTGCACAATAAGTCGACTGCTATCAGCAAAGGTCTTTCCACACTTGGCGCATTTAGTGGCTTCTCCCCTGTGTGGATCCTTTTATGGGAAGAAAGCTGAGTGCTCCTAGCAAAGGTCTTTCCACACTTGGCGCATTTAGTGGCTTCTCCCCTGTGTGGATCCTTTTATGGGAAGAAAGCTGAGTGCTCCTAGCAAAGGTCTTTCCACACTCCATGCATTTGAATGACTTCTCCCCTGTGTGGATCTTATTATGGGAATAAAGATGAGCGCTTTGTGAAAAGGTCTTTCCACACTCCATGCATTTAAATGGCTTCTCCCCTGTGTGAATCCTTTTGTGCACAGTAAGTTGACTGCAATTAGCAAAGGTCTTTCCACACTCCATGCATTTAAATGGCTTCTCCCCTGTGTGGATTCTTTGATGGGCATTAAGATTACTTTTCCGAATAAAGGTCTTTCCACACTCCATGCATTTAAATGGCTTCTCTCCTGTGTGAATTCTTTGATGGGCAGTAAGATAATCATTCCGACTAAATGTCTTTCCACACTCCATGCATTTAAAAGGCTTCTCCCCTACGTGGATCATTTGATGGTAAGTAACGGAAGACTTTCGACAGAAGAGTTTTCCACAGTCAACACATTTGTATGGTCTCTCCCCTGTGTGAATCCTTTTATGGACAGTAAGTTGCCTGTTTTTTCTAAAATTCTTTCCCCATTCTAAGCATTTATAACGCTTCTCTTCTGTATCAATCCCTTTTTGAGATGTAAGGGACTTATTTCCAAGAGAAAGAGTGAAAGTCCCATTGTATTTTTTCCCATTGTGTCTACTTACGGCATCTTCGCCTTTGTTTTGGATTGGACAATGTTCATTCAAATGCAATTGAGCTTTGATTAACTTTACACTTTTCCCAATGCATTTCTTCTTTATTGTCCCTTGATGGAGAAGAAGATCTTGCATTGAAGCATGAATGGTTGATGGACTCTCCTGATTCCAATTATTCAACTCGTTTCTCTCATAATGTTCTTCTTCCATTTGTACTATACATTTCTTTATTCTTTCTTCATGGTGGATCACTTGGAATGGCTGCTCAGAATCTTTATTCTCCTGCCCATTATTGCCTCCAAAGGAAAAGAGAAATGAAAATGATAACAAGGTTAGGAGAAAAGATCAAATTGTAGAAAGTCAAGTGTATTACCTTCTACATTTTTGCAAAATTGCAATATACAGATAATCCCCGAGCTACAAATGTAATGGAGCCTGCCGATTACATTTGTACCTCGAGGATTTGTTAAATGGATCCCGTTCTATGAATGAGCCCCTCTGCCTATTCCACCCATACATTCGTAAAATGCCTTGTTTTCTAAGGAGTAGGCTGCTTCTCTTCACTCAGTGGGTAAATACTGCTAAAGTGAAGGTGCCGCTTGCAACAAGAGCAGGAAGAATGCTGCTCTTTCATTTTGGCCAATGGGGCTTTAGGAAGATGCAACGAGAGAAGCTGCTAAAACCTGGACTGTTTCTTTTCCCTCCTTTACCCTGACAATTAAAGGGCACAAAGTCTAAAACACACAGTGTCATGGCTGACATTCTGCAAGCCAACTATTGCAAGCTGAAAGTCTGACATTATCAACTGGGGAAAGGAAGACAGGATTGGAATGTAAGGAGGAAGCGGGGGTGGGATGGAAATCAAGCCATGCCAGCTCGAGGCATTAGAAGCATCAGCCAATCCAAACATCTGAATGCAGAACTAGAAAGCCTGCGAACCAAAGGTCCGTTCCCCAAGCAAAATCTAAACACCTAATTGGATATTAGCTTATAATAAGGGAATGGCAGAGAAAAAGGGAAAGTTAATTGCATCTTTTGCATGCGAAAATGCCAGATTCAGCTTCGCTGCTTTTGTAATCACTTTGGCTTTAATAAAATACTTTTTTGGCTAAACAAAGGGCTAGGGGGTGTTCCTTTCCTGGAACAGCAAGTTGGGATGGGCGACACACAGCTTCTCTTACAAATTTAGAAGTGCCAAAGCAAAGAAGGCTTTGTATTACACTGTATGCTAATACTTGCAAAATAAGGCAAACTTGCTGGCTCTCTCCACCAAACTAAGAGGTTATTGTTTTAATGCTGGAAAAAAGAAGGGTTTCACCTTACAAGAGAGAACTGCCGGTTCCCTCCCTCAGATTTAGCTGTGTTTGCTACTGCCGTAGGAAGAGAGGATTTTGCTTTACAAGCAAGAGCTGCTTGGAAACCGCCCCATATGCAAGCAGAAGAAGCTTTCAGTCTCCATCATTTCACTGTCTGGGTGAAAATTGTTTGGGGTGCTTAGCACCAAACTGCTGGGTAGCTAAAAAGCAGTTAAGGTGGGTTACCCACTTTCTACCAAAAACATGCTTAGCTTCTATTACTGGCCGCAAATCATAGTAACCTTCCACTCTCCACCATATTTCTCTGCCACCGTGGAGCTGGGGAGCTTGGCACACTACTGCCCAGCTCCACTCGCTTTTACAAAGCATTCATTCGCTAGCCTGCTTTCCATGTCCATCACATTTTTCGGTCACTGCGGAGCTGGAGAGCTTGGCATGCCACTGTCAAGATCCCCTCTCTTCCCCAAACCATTCCTTCAATAACCTGTTTTCCAGCTCGGTTGCATTTCTGCGCCGCCGAATCAGACCATCCAACGTCTCAGACACACACACACACACAAAAGATCTCGCAAAGTTGGAAGGTCTGAATTTTTTTTTTTAGCCCCACAAACATTTGTCTCCCTGCATGCGGCAATGGAGAAATGCAACCGAGCTGGAAAGCAAATTAGTGAAGGAATGCTTTGGGGAAGAGATGGGAGCTGGGTGGTGGTGCGCCAAGCTGTCCAGCTCTGCGGCGGTAGAGGAACACAACGAAGCTGAAAAGCAGGCTAGCAAATGCTTTGGGGAAGCAAGAGGAGCTGGGTGTTGGCACACCAAGCTCTCCAGCTCCATGGTGGCGGAGAAATACAACGGAGCTGTAAAACAAGTGGCAAGTAAACCCCCAATTGCTCCAGGTGCTGAAACAGGCCCGTCTCTCTCCACTAACTGCCCAGGCCCACTGGAGGGCAAAGCTGGCATCTACTGAAATGGGGTGGCATTCCAGCTTTGACGCGGAAGGGGCAGCCAGGCACAGGTGCTTCAGGCAGGATGCCTGGTAGCTTCAGCACCCTCCCCGACCCTCCAGGGCTCTGCCTGCTGCTTGGGTGGCTGTGTGGATAGAGCTGTGAAGGGGGCCAGGTGGTCGAAACTGCCACCCCAGGGACAATGCAGAGCTGCAGGCCTTCAGAGCTGCCGCAAATGAAACGGCAAACCGGGAGCAGGAAGCCTGAGGCGGCAGGACCAAAGCAGCAGGTGGAGGAGACAGCCTCCAGCAGACACATGATCTGAGGGGCAGGGCGGCAGGAATCCAAAAAAAGCCCTTCCAGCAGCGGACGTAGCTGATGCTCAGCAGCGGCAGAAGCCTTTTGCCATAACTCCCTCCTGGCTCTGAAACAGCAGAGGGGGACTGGGTAAGGGGACCGAGAACTCCACCTCAGGGAGGAGTGAAAGGAAAGAGGCAGGTGGGCAGCCGGATCATTGAAAGGGCAGGGAGAGATCACCAGTGAGGAGTGGCCTGGTTGCGGGGGCCCTGAGGTACGTGGGTATGGGACGCATGAGGCACCTCCCCCGTCACCTGCCTCACCGCATCTCATGGCGATGCCATGCACTCTCCTGCCCTGTTGCAGCCGCAAACAACCAGATGGTAGGACAGAGGCTTAACTAGGGATTATTTTTGGCATAGAGTTTATATTCGGTGCATGGATAAAAACCAAGCTAATGCTTATTTTTGGGGAAACACGGTATGCAAATCTCACTGAAAGTCAATTTTTAATTAAGGAATAATCAGGGGAAACAGTCAAGGAGATTTTAGGAGATAACATAAGATTTATTGGAATGGTTAATTTCAGCAGAGACCTGTGATAACTGAAACAATTTTGTAACAAGTCCTTTTTTTCTATCCAAACTAATTTCCATTTACTATTCATTTTCTCTTGCAAAAATCACATAGCTACAGAGCAAGAAACGGGTCCTTCTATTAGTGCTTATAAGCAAGTCCCCAAATTACAAATATTGCAGCAGCACGGCACTCGTTTTCCCTTATGAGCGACCGCAGAGGCTCTGCAACATTCACACTGGTTATTCCCTCCCTCCCCACCTCTACCCCTGGTCTCCGTAGGCACTAGGCCTTCAATACTCATCCCGCGAAGATTAAAATCCTTCACTTTCTTGGCTGTTACAGGCTTTCAATGCATTCACAGAGAACGAAGGCCTGAAGTAATGCAAGATCACGGGAGATCACTGGGGCAAGATCTCACGCTAGTGATCTTGTGTGATCACATACTATTTTAGGCCTCTGTTCTTGGCAACAGAGAACAGAACCGAAGCCGGGGACACTTCCCCCAGCCTCTGGAGGCTGGATCGGAGCATCGGAGGCCTTTTCCAAGCTGCTGACGCCTGGATCTGAGGCCGGGGGAACGCTTCTGTGGCTCCCCAGTGGCCCAATCTGGGTGCCACAGGCCTTTTCCAGATCGCTGCTACCTGCATCTGGAGAAGGCCTCCAGGGCCCGCATCAGGCTATTGGAGAGACATGGAAGAGTCCCCCGGCCTTAGAGCCAGGCAGCAGGAGGAACCGTAGCAGAGGAGATGGATCTTTTCAAGGTGAGTCTTGCACGGCAGGAAGGGAGGGGGAAGCTTGAGGTATCTTAGTGGGTTGAGGAGGCCTTGGGGACCTGTTCCATCACTAGGCCCTCCATGGCCTTCCCCACCCTGATACCTTATGTTCACTTAACGAGCCACATGCATCTTAATAAGCAAGGGAGTGATGTCCTTCAAGGTATGAGATTCCCACGGGTTTTCACAAGTGGAATGGGCAGGCTCCATTACATTCGTAACTCGAAGACTACTTGTACTGGTTAGCCCCTAATCCCAAGACTCAGGACAGAAATGAAAAGGAACAAAAGTTATTAACCCAAGAACCGGAAGAAATGACAACCCTTTCTAGGACAGATAAGAAAAAGCATCTGGGCTCAAGTAGCTGATATTGGTGTTATGTAGCTGAGCATCTCCTCAAGCCAAGAAGTTAGTTTATCACTGACAGATTGAAATAGAAATGGAAAAATTCAGCAGATGAGAAGTGGCACAGGAAGCATCTAAACAACCATAGACCTCTTTCCTTTTAGCTGTCCCAAAGATCTTATAAGAGGAGCTCTGGTGGTGCAGTGCCAGGAGTTCGATCCTGACCGGCTTGACTCAGCATTCCATTCTGAGTTTGGTAAAACGAGGATCCGGATTGTTGGGGGCAATATGCTGATATTGTACACCATTCACAGAGTGTGGTAAAGCACTGTGGAGCGATATGTATGTCTAAGTGCTATTGCTGTTGCTATTCCTTCCCTGGAGCAGGAGAAAGCCAGATATTTTTCCTTCTCCTTCCCAGGAGACGAGTTGGGGATTATTAATAAGAAATAGCTAATGGTAACTAACTACAAACTTTCTGAAACTCTCTGATTAATGAGTAGCAAATCCTTACCCAGAGAGGCCACGTTTGTATGATTTTCCAGCATGACTTCATTATGTAGTACTTTTTGGTCAGGATCCAGCTGAGACCACTCTTCCTTGGAGAAATACACAGCCACCTCTTCAAAGGACACAAGGTCACCCTGAACAAGGAAAAAGGAACAGAACAGGCCAAGGAGGATTCTCAAGATCTGGTCCATTGTTCACAAAATCCCAAAGTAAAGTTATGCACCAAGTTAAATGGCAGTAAATGGAGTATTCCAAGGTTTATGTGAGAAAATAAACAATCAAAAACCTTTGACTGAACAACTATCTGGGCAAGTTTTATCAAGTTGATCGATTCTGCAGAACTTTGAATGCCTTTCAATAAAGTAATTCTACTACTGGCTCAATGGATCTGTCTGACTATAGCACTGGTGGCGAACCTATGGCATATGTGC